CACGTGGTGTGGAACACGCCCATCTTCGTGCCCTACGAGATCAAGGTGCAGGCTGAGAACGACTTCGGCAGAGCCCCCGAGCCCGACACCTACATCGGATACTCCGGGGAGGATTGTGAGTATTCCATCGGCCGCAGGTGGGATTTTGGGGATGGGCCCATCTGAGGGCAAAGCGTGTTGGGGATGTGAGCGAGGCAATGAGGGATTTGGGACAAAAATCCGCTTTTAGTTTGGAGAAGGCTTGGAGGATCTGGGCTGTGGAAGGTGTCCCTACCTAGGGCCTCCTGGGCTATGGAAGATCTTCCTGTCTGTGGCCACCTGGGCTATAAAAATTGTTCCTGTCTGTGGCCATCTCAGGTATGGAAGGTGTCCTTGTCCATGGCCACCTGGGCTATAAAAATTGTCCCTGTCTGTGGCCATCTCAGCTATGGGAGGTGTCCTTGTCTGTGGCCACCTGGGCTATGGAAGGTGTCCCTATCCATGGCCTCCTGGGCTATGGAAGATCTTCTGGTCCATGGCCACCTGGGCTATAAAAATTGTCCCTGTCTGTGGCCATCTCAGCTGTGGGAGGTGTCCCTGACGATGGCAACCTGGGCTATGGGATTTGTTCTTGTCTGTGGCCACCTGGGCTTTGGAAGGTGTCCCTATCCATGGCCACCTGGGCTATGGAAGGTGTCCCTATCCATGGCCTCCTGGGCTATGGAAGGTCTTCTGGTCCATGGCCACCTGGGCTATAAAAATTGTCCCTTCTGTGGCCACCTGGGCTATGGGAGGTGTCCCTGACAATGGCAACCTGGGCTATGGGATTTGTTCTTGTCTGTGGCCACCTGGGCTATAAAAGTTGGTCCTGTCCATGGCCACCTGGGCTATGGAAGGTGTCCCTTTCTGTGGTCATCTTGGGCTATGGGAGATGTTCCTGTCTGTGGCCACCTGGGCTATACAAGGTGTCCCTCTGTGTGGCCACCTCAGCTTTGAGAGGTGNACGCAGATCGGCAGCAGCGCCGTGTACCAGTGCAACGCGTCCAACGAGCACGGCTACCTGCTGGCCAATGCCTTCGTCAGCGTGCTGGGTGAGTCTGCGGCAAGGGGAGCTCCAAAACTCAAATTCCCACAGAATCCAAGGTTGGAAAGGACCTTAAAGCTCAGCTCAAAGCTAGTCTTAAAAGGGTGGATGTGGCTCTTAGTGCCAAGGTTGGTTTCATAGGTTGGGTCATAGGTTGGTTTTGATGATCGTAAATGTCTTTTCCAACCTTGCTGGAAACCTTTTCCAACTGATTGGTTCTGGGATTCATCTAAAATTGCACCCTTTTGGAAGGGCGTATCATGGAACCTTACACTATCCCAAGGTGCTCCAAGCCCTATCCTACCTGGCTTTGGACTTCCAGGAATCCAGGGGCGGCCATGACTTCTCTGGGAATTCCATCCCAGCCCCTTCTCAGCCTCCCAGCCAGGAATTTCTTCCCAGTATTCCCCAAAAACTCTCCTATTTTGGTTTAAAATCATTCCCTTTTATCCCATTACATACTCACATGTAAAAATCACTCTCCCTGGCTTTTCCAAGCCCCCTTTTCCCTGCCTAAGTTTTCCATGAGTTTTCCCCTTTGCTGTTCTGAGGAAATGCTCAAAGGCACCCAGGTTTTGGAGCAGGAATCCATTGCCATGGATTCAAACCAGGCAAAGGCTGAGCAAATCCAGGGATACAAAACTCCAGGGAGCCACAAAACGAGGCTGGAAGGAGAGGTGAGGTGGAATGGAGAAGCTCTACTAGGTTTTGAAAGCGCCAGTAGAAAAAGTGAACCAAAAAAAAAACAGGGAAAAGGCTGGAAAAGAGCAGCAGAATCCATTTTTCCTCCTTCTCCATGGCTGGAATTTTGATGCTTGGCAGATGTTCCCCCCCGGATCTTGGGCCCTCGGAACCAGCTGATCAGGGTGATCCAGAACAACAGGACGCGCCTGGATTGTCCCTTTTTTGGGTCCCCCATCCCCACCCTGCGCTGGTAAGAGCCGGATCCCATCCTGAGGGGTGGGAAAGGGGGGGTTTCCTGCTTTTCCTTCCCTTCCAACAGCACTTTGTGGTGTTGGGAGGTTTAAGGACGGCCAGGGGAACACGCTGGATGGAGGCAACTACAAAGCCTACGAGAACGGGAGCTTGGAGATGTTCATGGCTCGGAAGGAGGACCAGGGACTCTACACCTGCGTGGCCACCAACATCCTGGGGAAAGCTGAGGCCCAGGTCCGCCTGGAGGTCAAAGGTAGGGGCATGGAGGTGCCAAAATCTTGGATCTTCTGGAAGGTGCAGTAGAAAGAGTCGAGGCTAAAATCTTGGATTTTCTGGGAGTTGCATCAGGAATAACCCTTGAGGTGGAGGGGGGTTGGTTGTGGCTGATCTGATCTTCCAGCAGGTCAGGGCTGGGAGCTTTGAAATGGTGGAGATTCCATTTTAATGTTGGGAAAAGCCAAGGCTGGGGATGGTGGGAGGGTTTGGGTTGGGTGTCAGGCTGGGAGATGCCACCAGCAACGTCAACACTGACCCCAAGTGTTCCTCAGGGTTAGCTGAGGACAATAAAACATTTTTGGAGTTGTTTTTACCCCGCTCAGCAAATCTGGCTGCTGACTCCAAAAAATGGGGCTCGTTTTAAAAGCTCAGCACAAATTAATGACTTGTTAAATCAATTTATTTGTTCAAAGCCGGACAAACACCCCAGCTGTGCTTGTCCTTCCCTGCTCTCTGTTGAGTCCCTCAGCCAAACCCCACGGTTTTGGGACACGACCCTTTGTGACCCCCTGCAGACCCCACCAGGATCATGAGGGGACCTGAGGAGTTTGGGACATAACCCTTGACCCCATGCAGACCCCACCAAAGTTGTGAGGGAAATTGAGGGGTCTGGGGTGTGACCCTATGTTTGTGACCCTGTGCAGACCCTCGCAAAGGTTGTGAGGGAACTTGAGGAGTTTGGGTCTTAACCCTTGACACTGTACAGACCCCACCAAAGTCATGGGAGGACATGAGAAGTTTGGGAGAAAGCCCGTGAATTCATGCAGACCCCACAGGGATCCTGAGGGGTCCTGAGGAGTTTGGAACGTGTCCCTTTGTTTGTGACCCCACGCAGACCCCACCAGGATCGTGAGGGGCCCCGAGGACCAGGTGGTGACGAAGGGCACCATGCTCCGTCTCCACTGCCGCGTCAGGCACGACCCCACGCTGCGGCTCATGGTCAGCTGGCTCAAGGACGATGCCCCCCTGTACCTGGGGAACAGGTCTGTGCCCAAAAACTCCATCGATTTCTCTCCCAGAATTGTTGGGTTTTTAGCAGAACATTCCAGGTGTCCCCAGGGATAAATATTGAACTCCCACCTAAGCAACATCTGATGTTTTTGGCACTTTTAATTTCATTGGCTCCCTCCAGCAATTCCAGTTGATTTATCAGTAAATCCAGACTTTGCCGTGGGTTTTATTCCCGGATATTTCAGGACATCTTGATAAAACCTGGGAGTTCATAACGAGCCGCTCCAGAATTAATGTTTCTCTGCTGCGGCTGGCACAGCTCTAATTTCCTTTCCGTACCTGACTCCTGTTTCTTGTGAGGCAAGATCTGATCCCAGGGCACGAGCCCAGGGCTGGCTGTTGTCCTAAAAATGTGATTATTCCCCAGATACACCCCAGGGCGCGTGATTCCTTAGGAAATGAGCTTTCCCAGAATAACCCAGCACATCCTCAGCTGATGCAACCTCCAGACCAGAGATGTTCTCCTGCTCTGGTTGGGTTTCCAGCTGGATTTTGTCAGGGATTTTGTACAGCCTTCAACACTGCTTCCTAAATATATTGGGGCAGAATTCTGGGACGTTGTTTCTTTGAAGGATGAAGAAGGAAGAGGATGGTCTGATGATCTATGGAGTGACTGAGAAGGACCAGGGTGATTACACGTGTGTGGCCAACACGGAGCTGGACAAGGACTTGGCCAAGGCCTATCTCACCGTGCTGGGTAAAGCCCCCCTGACCCCACAGCTGAGTGCTTGGCTTTGAACAGGACACCCCAACCTCGAGGGCAGGCTGGAAGGGGGATCTGGGCTCCAAGATTGTCCCCTGGATGCTCAGGGTGGTGCTGGCAGAGCAGGGGTTCCATTGTCACAGGATTTGCTGCCTCGTCCCCCATGATGGCACTGAAATGATGCAAAAAACCTGGGATTTGAGGGCAAAAAATTAAACAGGAATCGTGGCACACAGCCCAAAATATCCCCAGGTGGATGTTGAAGATCCATGAGAAAAGTCCCAAATTTGGGAGTGAATTTAGTGGGATGTTGGGGTGCTGAGCAATGGGATTGGGGCTGAGCCAGCTGCTCCTGGCACTGTGTGTCCCCCTTTGTGTGTCCCCTTTGCAGCACAGGGAGGGACCAACTTCACCCCATTCCCATTTTTGCCACTGCAAGCTCTGCTTGGCAAACAGGGATTTATCATCCCCTGGCCACCTCAGATTCCCAGGAATGCCACAACCTGCCAGTGCCCCTCCACAGCTGGAACAGGAATCCCAAAGAATCCCAAATAATTCCCCTGGGGTTGATTTATTTCCCCTTCTTTCCCCTAATGGCTCATTAACCCCACACCAAACTGATATTTCCCTTTTGCTGCCAACTACCAGCGTGGGTAACACATGGAGGTCTCTGGGGGAAGGATATTCCTGCTCTGCTTCCCAAACTGGATCAAATCCCACTGAAATCTGCAACTTTATGTTTGCCAGGTGCTCCTTTGGCCACCCAAGCTTAAACTAACCCGGTTTAACACGCACTGTCTTACCTTGCAGCCATCCCCGCTAATCGGTTGAGAGATTTACCCAAAGGTAATCGTCACTAATTCCTCGCCTTCCTTTGATTTCCCACCTTGGTTTTGGTTTTCCCTCACCAGTAACTCCAAGAGAAATGGGTGGCAGCTGGAAAAACTGGGGGGTGATGCTTCCAGGTTGAAAGATCTGAAGCTCCAAGTCCTGCCCAAGCTGTCCTTGAAGGAGTTGAGGCTTCCAGGTTGTCCTTGAAGGATCTGGAGCTCCAAGTCCTGCCCAAATTGTCCTTGAAGGAGCTGAGGCTTCCAGGTTGTCCTTGAAGGATCTGGAGCTCCAAGTCCTGCCCAAGTGGTTCTTGGAGGAGTTGAGGCTTCCAGGTTGTCCTTGAAGGA